TAGCATGGACCTTATTTATTCATTTCATGACAGTATCATTAAGTATATTTGTATTTATTGGCAAACAACTACATGTTACATTACATTTTGGAAACAATTATTGCTTTGATATGCAGGTACATTTGATGGACTTTGGATAACTTATGATAATTTATTCATTTCATGGCAATAAAGATTTTTTTTTATTTAGTAAGTACTTATGTTATTTTGAGTTAAAATATTATTATAGCCTTTGATATGTGCATAATTTTTAGAACATTACCTACCACTGATCAACTGTATGACACTCATCAACAACAAGTGCAACTACTTTAGATGTGAATCTCTTATTGTCTAACAATGTTTTGTGCAAAGAATTGCCTCTGAGTGGGATATGATTACTTCAAATTTCCCAGCTATTATATTTTATAATGAAGCACTTGATTCACATTCCTAAAGAACAAAATGCATGTTAATACTCTCTTCAAATTACATACATTTTATATATTCATAATTCATTAATAAATGTTCACATACGTAATAGTTTTTTTAGTGTGTGTTTTTCACATAAACATACTTAAACAAAACAAGGAGAATACTCACCTAGGCTTTCATGTAACAATTTTATAAATAAACACTGTATCAAATTGTACATATGATATACTAAAAAGAGATAAACAAACATGCCTTTACAATTGTATGGTCGCCTTCATCATCATCTTCCTCGCACACATACGCCCCACGACCCTTAACGTCAAGTTTGCACGACGGTATTCCATGTTTCCTCAAACTTATTAACTGGTCTTTTGTATAATATTTAGAGGCGCAACAACAATCGTTACACCACGTTCAATTTGCTCCTGTTCTCTCAAAAGACGGCCGCACAAATGATAAATCATACTTTTTCCGTAACCAGTTGGCAGCGAAATAATCATATCCTTTCCTTCAATCCAAAGACTCTCGAAAACCTCTCGTTGTCTAGATTTTAAGTGGATATTCGGATCGTAATTCGTAAGAATTTTGGACAGAACAGATTCAAATTCCCCGCCAGCTGCCATGGCTTCGTCTGCTGATGTGTTGTTAGTTACGCCCAACAACCGCCGAACACAGATTCTAATTAGTTTATAAGGTTGGAGATTTATGTATTGGTCTTTTGAAATAAGTTAAATTTGCAATAATAACATTCTAACAAGGTTTAAACACGCTGACTCATTCACTCCTTGTAAAAACATGAATTCAAAAAAAAGGCATGTGTTTTAAAACAGATGTTTTT